TGATTTTCTCTGGGCACCCCTGGTAAAAGTGTTATACATCAGTCACTAAAATTGATAAAAGTCGAAGTAATAATCTTATTTCTAAAGGAATAATTATTGTCTAAAGTAATCTTGTTGTCTATAAGACGAATGTACCAAAAGTACTTTTACAAATAAATTTTGAATGCCGAACATTCAGCAAATTTCATCCCCCAGCTCATTACAACTTTCAACTACAATTTTAATCATTTTCATAGAATTTTTCTAAATTAATACATAATAATTGAATTAACTGAAAAGTTGGTCAGATTTGCAAAAAATCTTGTTTAATATAATTGAATGTTTTTTGTTGTTTCCAACTCACCTTTGACTCATTCTTACTGTGTCTGAATAGGCAGTTCAAATCATTCCCGCATATAAAAAAATGCAAGGAATAAAAACTGTACTACAGCTAGATGTTTCTGATATTCCATTCCATTTAAAAAGAATATGAAACGTGGCCATGTTGGTCAGAATCTGGGAAAGAAAAAAAAAATTCAAATTGAATGGAACAAAGACATATTGTACGTTTTGTGTGCTGATGAAGTGATGGATAAGTGATAATGTTGTGATGTGAAAGTGATGAACACAGTGAGGTGTAACAAGACAATTATTGTATAATTTTCCTATTTTTATCCTTTATAAAATATTAAAACTGCAACTTGATTATTTATTGTTTTATTATCAAAGAATGTCAGCAATCTATATTCACACTATTAAATATAGTCAGTCGGCAGCAAATGTAATGACCTGGCCCCTGTTGTGGTGTTTCCAATGTACTTTTACTATGCATGTGTGTATTTGAAAGTGCTTTTCACAAAGAATATTCTAATGAGAAAGAATTTCACTCTGAATTCCACATGGCTATAACTCATCAAAAGGATAACCTACATTTTCATCATTCTGAAATTACACCATATGAAAAAAAAAACTTAATATAAATGATGAGAAATCTTCATAAACATTGAAAAATTAGTATTGTCTCATAAATAAATACTATGTTTTAAACAGATAAAATGTGACAAGAGCCTGAATGCCACAATAATATCAATAATAGAATACAAATATCCTTTCATATTTTGACAATAAGTACTGTATGTTTAATTGCAGTCAACAAATATCTTTATTTTTGATACACAACATTTTGCATGTTGGCTACAAGCATCTTCAGGTGTACATTTAATAAACATAATAGACATGTTTACATCTGAAAAAATAAAAAATGACAAACAAAATTTTGAAGATATTGAATGAAAAATACAAAATACTAAGTACAAAGAAAACAGAAAGAAAATCTTTAAAAAATTAAGTATAGGTGAAACATTTTTATAAGTAGTAAGTACAAGTGTACAATTGAGAGGACAGAACTTACAAAAACATGTTTAATTATGTACATATGATATAACAATAAAACTCGATAAAATTTTTTTAAAAACAAATTGATAATTCCAATCTCAAAAACTGTTTCCATTATAAAAACATCCATCCCCACTGTTTGAAGAAAGAGACAAGTAAGGACTGAAATGGAACAGACTAACATAAAAAATAGATATTATTTTTTTGAACATACTGCAATGAAAGCAAAAATGAAATGAAGCAGAGAGGGATGGATAAAAGAACAGCTCTAAACATACATGCTCCAATAAAAAGGAGAAAGCCTTCAGAACCTATCATAATATATATAGTTTTTTATTCAATTTTTATTTTGGAAAGATTTTTGTCATGTATGTAAGTGAAAAGATTTGATTATGTCATGGAATTAATGGTCTTGTATGTGTGTAGTTTTTCTGGGATTAATCTTGAATATTTTCTGGTTTCATTATCCAAAATGATAGGGCTGTTAAAATTAGAAGAATGAAAAAAATGAAAGTGATGTCGAGATATTGAGTTCAATTTCCTGTCAGCCTTTAATGTGAGATGTTTATGAATTTTTCAAAAAATTAGCAAAGTTTACAATTTAGTTGATTGGCATTATCATCATCATCATCATCATGAGCAGTAGGATAGTAGGTCTAGTGCCTGTTAAAAGACAGTAGATCTGGTGATTTTTCCTCCAGATATTCCTGAGCAATCCATCTTTTGTTGGGTTTTCCTATATTTCTTTGCCCGGTGGGTTTATACTTCAAAACTGTTTTAGGAAATCTTTCCACTTGCATTCTGTGTACATGTGAAAATCATCTCCTCTGATTTTCTTTAGTTGATAGAGCAATTAATCTTCCTCATTTCAAATACTGTGTCTCGAATTTAAACATACCCTACATACTGTCCTCACTGAAAACAATTATCCTTTTCATTTTATTCATAAAAGTTTCACTAAACACTGCATATATGCATTATAAAAAACAATAATAAAGAAACAGTTGTTAATCCGGCCTCAGAATTGTAAAGTCAATGTCCACCAGTCAAGGTCACACTATTACCTTACCTAGAATAAATCCTTACCTTTAAAAAAATTTTTAATACAAAATTTGATAAATAAATTTTAAAAAAATGCCTCTTAAATAAAATCTGATTAAAAATGTCAAGACACAATCTGTTTAACGGAAAAAGAAAATTTAGTTAATTACCTTAAATAACATGATTGTTTTGTCTCCTGGGTGGAGCAGACAAAACTTGCTCTCGAGAAAAGAATAAAAGAGCCTTTCGATAACATCCTACCATTGCCTCTTCTCTTTGTTTATGAATCAGTGGTGTTTGTCAAAACTTTTATTCAAACGTGAGAACATATTTTCACCTTATATAGATGCAGTGGCAGATCCATGGCGGCCATGTCCCTCCCCCTCCCAAAAGCCTACAGACAAATGTTTGTAACTATTTTTCATTTGCCAAAATTTATTTAAATATTTATTTAGGTTATAATTATGTAATTATTTATAAAAAATTGTATAATATCTTATACACATTATAAACATATGCAATATAATAACAAATATGTTTATTAATTAACAAAAATCCACACAAAAGTAAAACAAAACAAAATTAATTCCAAATGTTAATTAATTAAAGTAGGTACTACCATTACATTGGCAAATCTTAAAAATGATTAGTATTTCAAGTTAAAAGTTAAAAACTGCAACAGCAAATAAAGAACAGTTTTTGGCCTATTTACTTTATTGCATCCCTCATGAAAGAAGCGACACACTACACCAGGAACAAAAAGAATGATTATTTAGGCGCAGATCCAAGCAAAGGGAAATTACCCCCCCCCCTAAATTTTTCAGTTATTATTTTCAAGAAGACATGAGAATTTCAAGTATTTTTTTTCTGGAAACGAATAAAATAGTGTAGCTGCATGACCTCAATGTAGCCTGCAACCTTTTACACAATCTGTAATATATATTCCACGAAAATATGTATTTCCCCTACCAAAATTCGTCTCTGGATCCGCCCCAGGATTATTTAATGATACTGTTTACAAAATAAGTTGCCTATATTTTACATTTGGTTTCCTTTCATTATTAATTTCCTTTGTGGTAGAAGAAAGTTTGTAATAGTTTTCAAGATACTCATTGTGCGTTTCGTTCGTGGAAGGGGGCACATCCTTGTAACACAAGTTTTCGAAGACAGTGTTCAATTTTTTAAACACTTACGTTCTTTTCAGTAGTATCCAGGACATATTTTCACGGTCGCCCCAAAGGGATAGATAGAACTACAAGACTGTAGCACTATGATAAAATCATTTAACGGGCTTCATATTCTTACGTACAAATTCTTATGTACCAGCAGGTGATCTGGTAGTTGCTTCTTCCCGACTGTTACTATGGAAACGCTATATTGGAAGTTCCTCTTGCGAACATTATAGGAAAGAAAGATCTCTTGTTATCAGTGGCGGCTGGTGTCCCTAGACTGGAGGTGGCACCTCCATCGACTGACGGAGATGTAATTTCAAATATTCAAAATACGAATATATGAATGTGTGAAAACCAGGACGGTATAAGTGACGTTTTAGACATTCTGAGAAATCTGTTTATTTCTGTCAATATTACTGTGAAGTCGTGGTGCTCTGTTTCATCATTACAATCACGGCATTTCAATTGTTTATTAAAACCACGAAAGTACATTTCCACTAAAATATAGCCTATTTTGTTAATTTTTCTGTTTCATAATTGAAGAACGGAAATACTATTTTAAGGTTACTAACGAACAGTAAAACCTCATCCTAAATGACGATTTTCTTAAGAAAAAGATTTTCTTTCTATAAAAAAATTAAAGAATTTGGAGCCATTTTTGAGAAAATGTTGAAAATGTCCCAGGGGCTTCATGTAAAGAACCACAAAACTAATAAATTATTTTCAAAATCGCAGAGCTTCGACTCAGGTGAAATGGACGAGGGTTTCTTCAATTTGGAAAAAAATCCTACGCATGGTTTAGGCGCTAGTGTTCACATTCATCAGACGGACGGGTTGGTGTGCGGGGGAGCGGACGGACGAATAGATGGATGGACGGACAGACGGACGGACGGACAGACAGACAAATGTATAGATGGCCGGACAGGCAGACGGACGGACTGACAGGCAACGGACGTTTGTAAATGTGATGTCACCATTGTGTCGTTCAAGCTCCCGATTCGATGAAACTGTGATCAGCTGAGACCTTCTAGGGGCAGAGTTGCATTAATTGCATTATATAATACTTTGTTTCCCAGAGGGTGTTGCTTTGACAGCAACAAACATGGCTTCAATTTGCTTCAAAAAATGGAAGCGCTTCAGCCACTCTATGTAGTATATTCCAGATCGTTCGTAACACCTCAATATTTTGCCAAATTGAGGCATGGGACTATCTGATCCGCACTTATGGGTGCTCTCATCGTTTGCACACGTAAGCTTCCGCAGCTCAATTACATAAATTCTTGGCTATCCGGGAGACGCCGTGTCGTTGGCCGACGTTTCGCCTGACATGTCGCAGGCTTCCTCAGGGCTCATCGTTTGTCGCTGCTCGAAACGTTAACACGTTCGGTAGTCAGAATCCGTTTTGTGAGTTCTTGATGCCGAATATTAGATTGAAAGCAAAACGCTTGTATTTACTGACGCTTTATCCGTGTGTTACAATGTCTACGTTATTAAAATTCTACTCTCAACAGTGGTAAACATTAGTGTCGGGAAGAGTATATTTACACAGAAGAATGATGTGTAAAATAAGTTTTGGTTCTTACGACGGACATTACGTAATGACCGCTTAGAACGTTTACGTATAGTTTGAATACACTTCACACATCGCACACAGCGAGACGATGCTGAATTTTGAATTTTATTATGTATTGGCTTTATAAGAATTAATTTCGTACGACCTTTTCTATTGAGTTCCAGATATAATATAAATGATAAAAATGTGATAGATTGGTTACTTTATTTTTATGCATTCATAAGGTGATTGGACATAATAGGTGATTAATGTATTATTCTTTAAAAATTGGAAGCTTACTTCGCTCTTGGCAAGCTTGTGTGAAATTATCCTTGCTTTTCTGTACAATGCAACTGCAATGCATAGTGCAATGTGCTGCAAATACTGTAATTAATAGTTGAGATTTATTATTATTATTGAGTCACATATACAATTACAATCGTGTATGACGAGTCAATATAATGTCCTGGGTGGAGAGAGCGAAGTTACATTACTGTTCAGGAGCGAAAGAAGGGGCCATCTCAGCATTTGCTCAAGGGACCAGGGAAACTAAACAAAAACCTGATCGAGATGGGGTCATTGGCCTAGGAATTATATTACAATACTTGTTACAGATAGATTAGAATATTATTCAGTAGATAATTATTTTTTGTAGCAAATAATTGGACATTTCAAGACAGTTTCATGTTTAAAGTAAAATTTACTTGTTTTTGTCACTTTACTGCTTTGCTACTGTTTGTTTCGTTTGTAGAAATAAGAAATGACTTCTGTCCTGGCTATCGAAATAATTGCAGATATGCACCGCTTCCTTTGAATTGATTTGAACTTTTGAAGTGATGGTTGAAGTATGAATATGACAGAAATTGCAATATTATATTTTGTAATCGTTCCCAATAATGCCAGAAATTATGTGCTGTTGGAGCACTACTGATTTCAAATTCATATTGTGGAGATGAATTTGTGATACAAATCTAGAGGATTTTATTGGATACGTAAGAAACCTACATCAATAAAAACTTCTTTTTAAAACTATGTGCCAAAATGTATATTTACTTGTATTGAAGAATACTCGAAAATCTTTTCACCATGTTTAAATTTCCCCCTCGTTGTGGACTACGACTTGTCATGCGGACTCTGAATGTTTATTGGCTGAAACTGTTCTAGATGCGCAGTCGTCCTCTTGTATATCATGAGTGGTTCTGTGATTCGGATGATATCCGGTGAAACATGCTGCGTGAGTATCAGCGAGGGTGCATAAGTAGTATTTAATTGAACAATAAAATTAATAATCGAAAATGGCGTGGATGCAGTTCAGTTTTTGTGTAATTTTGGCTGTCGGACTTGTGATTCATCATGCTTTTTGTGATGACATTTTGGGCTGTGGCGGATTTGCGAAAAGTGATATTGATATAGATTTTTCCCAAGTTGAGGTTAAGTTGTAAGTATTTATTTGGCAATAATACATTATTTTAGGTTCAAGATGTATGTAGAATAACAATTTATTCATTTCAAAGGTATACGAAACAAGGCAGTTTGAAGGATCACACGGAATGTGCTCCAAATAACGGATATTACTTCTTGCCTGTGTATGACACCGGGGAATATGTTTTAAAAGTAAGTGACAATTAACTCAAATTGAAAGCAGTTATTATGGACGAAACTATCTACGTGTTATTACGGATTTCATAGATTCAACCACCGGCTGGGTGGAGCTTCGAACCTCGAGAAGTGAACGTAAATGTGGATGGTGTGAATGACGTATGCAGCAAACAGAAAGACATCAATTTTCATTTTAAGGGGTTTGCCATTGTGGGGAAGGTATGTTAAAATAGCTTCTTACTCTAGATTTTCAGTTAGTGATTTGGATAAAATGGAATATTTGTTCATGATAGGTTGCAAGTGTTGGAAGTAATATTGGACCTAAAGGAGTGAAAGTAGTTTTGTTACCTGAAGGAAAAGAAGATCCCATTATTCATGAAACATTCACTGCTGAAGATGGTAGTTTTCTTTTCACTCCAGTACCCCCAGGCCGATACATTGTGCGAGCATCACATTCAAAGTGGCAGTTAGTGAAGAGTTCTGCTCCTGTTGTACTGTCTAAAGGCAATGCTGATATAGGTGTTGGCAGTCTACTTGTGGCAGGTTATGATGTGTCTGGATCAGTCACCAGTGATGATGAGCCAATCAAAGGAGTTAGTTTTATTTTGTTTCAGTCTGAAGGTGTAAGTATAAAAGAAATTAACATTCCTTTTTGATGTGTTCCTTAAAAATGTGTTTTTAGGTTTTCAATCACAATTTTTATCTTTTAGGCTCCTGTAAATATTAAAGGCTGTGACAAAAAACCTATTCCGGGTTTTGTATCTGCCGATACTCCATTATGTCATGTCACATCGGATGAGCGTGGACAATTTGTGTTTCCTGTAGTCCCTCCTGGGCATTACAGAGTTGTACCACATTATGCTGGACCTCAGAACATAAAATTTGATGTCAAGCCTACTCAGCTACCATTTACAGTTGGTCACAGCAGCTTGCAAATTAACACTCAGTTCCAGGTAGTAAGAGTGGCGTTTTGTGTTTTCTAAACTTAAAAATCAATCAATGTGGAATTTTCAGAGCATAATGTTATATGCTTATGACAGTTGTGTAGTTTTGATTTTCTGAATTTCAAAATTATCTGTAGGTCTAAGTCATTTAGATACAAGAGACAGAAAGTGAAATTAATTGGTTGACAGACTAATGTATTTGTTATTACCAAATTAATTAACTTTGGAATAGGACACATAAGCCAATGTTAGGCTTGTTTTTGGTAGATATTGCATTTGTGTTGTTAGGTGAAAGGCTTCAGTGTCGGTGGACGAGTGTTACGTCGTGCAGGTGGCAGAGGAGTCTCTGGGGCAACAGTTCTGCTTGATGGCAAAGTACAAACCAAAACTCGAGAAGATGGTTCTTATCATTTGGAAAATATGCAGGCTGGCTCTTACACTCTGATGATTCAAGCAAGTAAGTAGTTTTAATTTACTGTGATTCAGTTTTCTTATATTGTAATTTTCTAAACAATTAATTATTCACTTACTTTTGTAATGTTTAAAGAAGCTTATTATTACTTCAAAATTATTCTGTTTTCTAATATCGATATGGCGGAAATGTAGTATATGGTACAACCTAAGGAAGTCGTTTAAACCAGCACTTCGCGCCGTTCCAGTGTTAATTAGGCAGTCAGAATTCTGGAGGCTTTCTTGAAAAGTGCTTTTTTATAAAAGTGAATTGGTAATTATGCGTTGGATAGACTCAAGGATGTTTATAGTGAACGCGAGGGCTGAAGGACCGAGCCTCGCCGTGACTTGGATCCGGGCGAACGAAGCGCGAAAACTTGCCTTTGAAAGTAAATTGGCGTTACAATGCGGCAGGGACAAAGCATATAAAGGGCGAACCATGAAAATCTCCTATTGGTAAGTTTTACTCATTTCTATTAGAGCACGTCCAGAAATTAGGGCTTAAGCCCCACCGCCACGCTTCTCTAAGGGTGTACCATGTACTAAACTTTAACCATTGATATTTTCGTGTATTTCAATATAATCTATCTTTTGCTTAAAGCTAGAGACACGATTTCCATGCAAATGCATGTTTTTTTCAAAGTTTTGTAGAGATCTCAAATTGGGTAAAATCTCTCATGGCAAATTCATTTTAAAAATGCATACTTTATCCATCAATGTTCGAATGTTTTGGTAGTTTTTAGGAAAAATCCTTGCGTAATGCATGTTTGAACATTTTTTTAAATTAATACTGCATATTTGAACTTCTACCTAGCATTTTAAGTCCTTTTTAATTGTTTATTTTGCATAATTTTGTGGATATTTATTTATTTATTTACATCAAAACAATTAAAAACTGTGTGTGACATGCTATGGGGAGAAGTTAATTTCAAGTTACATATTGAAATTGACACAAATTTTATATAAAAATTATATTGTTCTTAGATTCTGGCAGTACACTGTTGCTATTGCACAGTTGCAACTGATATTTCATTGTGTGTATTTTGTCAATTTTTAATCTGCATTGTGTATGTGTAGCTGTGTGATTGTGTTTGCAAGCATATTTTTAAAATTTGGTAGAGCATGGAAATCTTGTGTTTACTTACAGCATTTGCAAATGAATCATAAAGTTATATTCATCATTTTTTGATAAGCGTTCAGGTATGTTTTTTGACTGAAAATGGTTTAATTGTTGATGAAATTAAACCATATAAGTTTGAAAACTATACATTAACATTCTGTAAACAAACACATAAGTGGTGGGGGGAGTACCAATATATACTGAAATAAATGTGATATGTGAAAAAATTTAATGGATAAAGAAGTATAGCGATAAATTGGCAGTAGCTGGAATCAATGTGAACGCAGAGGTAATTAAAATTATGGGAATATACAGATCTCCAAATGCAGACACTACAGGATTCTTGAAAAAGTTTGAAGAGCTATTAAATAAACTAGATAAATATAAATGTAAAATAGTAATTGTAGAAGACTTTAATGTAGATGTATCAGAAAGTAAACTAAGAGATATAATTGAGGGATTTTACATTCATTTTACATTTTCATAATACTTGGACCTTCACGAATTACAGAAAACTCTAGTCGTGCAATAGACTGTATACCAATATAAAACAAAGAAACTATACAGCATATAATCTAGATTTTCATATCTCTGACTACAAAGGGCAAATAATTGATGTTCATAACAGTAAACCTCACAAATCAAGTATAAAATTCTCATTTACATGACACTACACAGATAAAAATCTTTCTAAAATTTGTGAATCACTCAAAAGTGAAGAATGGATGAAGTTACACAGAAAATAACTCAAACAACAAATGGAATACATTCCTTAAACTCCTTATTTCTTTATTACAAAATCACTGAAATTATACATGTCCAATTAAAAAACCTAGCAGTCAATAAACAAATAAAAATTTAAACTATCAAATAAAGTCATTGAAATTAAAGACAAGGACAGAATCATACACATTAATTAGATACATGAAAATACATTAACATAAAGAACACTATAAAGGCTATAGAAAATTGTATTTTGAAAAGAATTAAGAACTGCAAAATGGTAAAGACTAATACAAATAGAAATGTAAAAAAAATAATTTCTAAAATAACAACAAATATAAAACAATAATATAAAGCTGACCATGAAAGTGAATTAGTGAGTGATCCAATGCTAAATTGGTTTGAACAGTGTTTGATAATCATTACCTAAACACAGACACTGAATAAAACAATTGCACACAAATGTGTCTAAATTCCAGATTTAAAACATTCATTGTATCTAGCCAACACAGATTGCCACAAGAAATTTAAGACGACAAAAAAGTAAATAATAGTTAAATAAGTGGGAGGGATGAGATAACACCAGAAATAGTGAAAGAATGCAAGAACATTCTAGTAAATATTTTAGTTCATATAATTAACAGCTCACTAGAGGCATGTGTTTTTTCTGATTCACTGAAAATTAGTGTTGTGAGACTAATATTTAAGAAAGATAATGTTGCTGAAGTTGGAAACTATAGACCAATAACTCTGTCATGTTTTGCTAAATTATTTGAGGAAGTAATAGCAGTCAGAATGTACAAGTTTTTGGAAAAAAACAACAACAACCTGTTAAGTGATGAACAACGTGGATTCAGGAAGGATAAATCCACTATTACTACAGTTGATTTTATTCATGAAATAATAAATAATCTAGAAAATTACTTTTTTACCGCAGGAAGTATTTATGGACTTATCGAAGGCTTTTTTGACAATGTGTCACATAAACTACATCTTGAAAAACTAGAACATTTTGGAATAAGACACAATATTCATGAATATATTCTATATATATTCTGTAACAAATCATACACATAGTGTTCAAATATACTGGGAAACAAAGGTCCTGCAAGGATCAGTATTGGGACCACTACTATTTCTAATATACATGAATGACATTCCATCATCAATAAATAACTTGATCTCGTATGCAGAAGACACAACATTAATCAGTAAAAATAAAGACATAATAGCATTACGAGAAAATGTGCCTGATGCAATGCATCAAATTTCTAGATATCTAAGTCGCAATAATCTAAATTCAAACATAAATATAACACACAGTAGAATTTAGTCACCATAAGCAAAACCAAAATAACGAAATAAATATTGATATAAACAACAAAAGGGTACACCAAGTGCAAAGTCACAAATTTCTTGAAAACCACATTGACCAAAATCTAACACATAATGAACAAATTGATGTCATAGGCAAAATAATTAATTCTAACATTTACTTACTATGAAATCTCTCAAAGTATATGACAGAGAAAATGCTCATTACCACAGACTATGGCATTATATACACATCACATTCAATATGGTATAGAAATGTGGGGAGCAGCCAGTATAGGGAACATGGACAGTGTTATATTACATAAAGAAGCTTTCAGATGCATATAGCTGCATCCTAACCAATCTTGTAAATATTTTTATAAAAAGTAAAAACTAATGCCTGTTGTTGCAATTTATGCAAATATGGTTAATTATGCACATGAAAAAACAATAACTTATTCTTATTCAAAACAGTCTGTATCCTTAGTCTCCTAGTCTCCTTATTAAAAACAAAAATGTATATCAATGCTTTACAAGAGGAAAGGAAAACTATCACAGGATGTAGTTTGAAAAATCCTCCTCAAAGAAGAATCCTTATTGGAATGCTGCAATACTCCACAATAAACTACCTAACCATATTAAGGGGTGAAGCAAAAATAAATTTAAAAAACACTAAAAAGTTACTTAATTGAAACTTGTCCGTATAAATTAAAGAAATTGACATAGGTAGAGAAAGCAATGTTACAATATTTATGTATTCTTTTTTATTTTATATACTTAAGGCAAACATTGTAGGTTTAGATTGTCATTTCTATTAACTATATAAAATGTAAATAATTGTGAATACTCAAGTTATATTAAAAAAAAGTGAAACCTATTAGAGAAAGAATAATGAATGTTCACTTATGTATGACCATTCTTCATGACTTGTAATATTGAGTTATGACCAAATAAATTATTATTGTTATTATTATCATCATCATTATTATTATTATTATTATTATTATTATTATTATTATTATTATTTATATTATTATTATTGTCTTTTTCCAGATGATATGAAATTTGCTGAATCTGTTGTGAAGGTTACTCCTAATACTCCACAGCTAGCTCCTGTTTTTCCTGTTGCTTTCAAAGTGTGTGGAAGTGTAGCCCCTCATCAGCTACCCTTAGCGCAACCAGACACTTCCCCTCGAAATGTCCTTTTAACACGAGTGGGAGGCTCTGCACAGCCGCAGGTTGTGGAGACAGGTCGTGGGAACAGAGAGTTTTGCCATTTCTTAGAACCTGGACAGTATGAAGCTTCTGTTGAGGTGACAGAGCCAGAGAAGAAACGGGGTCTTGTGTAAGTGGATCTTTTTTCAACATTGCTTGTATTATTACTCTTCATTCTTTAATAGTAATATGATTTTAGTATGAATTCTAAGCACTTTTTATTTTTAATTTAGTTTGTATGTTTTTATGTAGTTGGGAGATATATTATTGTTTTTCGGTCATGAATGGTATAATTCTGTTTTTCAACTTAATTTACTTAATAAAAGGTAACTCATATAACCATATTTTTTGCTTTAAACATATAAGAGAATATTTTTATTTGTTTATTTATTGTTTAAGCATTATAATATGGAAATAATTGATAAAATTAGTACTTAAATTTTATACATTCGATAATACAAAACTATAATTATGTGTTGTAATTTCAACTTGTGTATTTTATATGGTTGTTTGGTTACGTAAGTACACATCTTTATTTTCATTGATATAAGCTCTGGATAGAGTTACCTGATGAATTGTTTCTTAAGATGCCTCTTGATGATAAAGAAATGAATTGCAATTAATTATCAGCTGATCCATCAAGAGGTCTTCATAGGTTGAAGAAAAATGTGGGCCACAAAAATTGTAAATGGAATCCCCATCGATTGAAGAATTATTTATGTTTTTGTTTTTGATGTCATAATGGTTATTACCCTCGGTGTATTCTAGATTTACCATGCTACATATTTGGCTTTGCAGATTTTCTCCTCTTGTGCATACTTTTGAAGTAGTGGACGGTCCTTTACTGACTGGAATTCAGTTCACGCAGCTGAGAGTGGATCTGTCTGGGAAAGTGTTATGTCGCCCTGAAGCTAACTGTGATGCACTTTCTGTTATTTTGCATTCTGTATCTGCTCCAGAAATTCGGCATCCACTTACCTCTGCTCTTACTCATGGTAATCTCCATGAACCTTTTGAAAATGTTTTTGACTTGCATTTAATTAAATTGCTGTGAAATCATTCAGTCATTGAGCACTAGACTAGAAGGTTGAAATATTTTAACAGAAAACCGTACAATCCTTCAAAAATTATTGATGAATCTATGGAGGATATTTTTGTTTTATTGGCATAGCTGTATCTGAATGGTATAATTTATTTGAAAGTAAATGTTACATGTTCATGTATTCCCAAATTAATAAGATTTGGTTATTATTTTTGAGATTTTCCAAAATTACTCATTGAAATTTAAATCGCAATATTGGAATTTGAATTAGAATTTATAAATGCATACACATATCTTCTAAGTTTCCAAATTGTCTTGTTATAAATTCCCAAGATATTGTTTTTAAATATGTGTGATGTACAATCTGAAACTTTTGCGATTAAGAGCACTTGATTCACTTTCAGGAAGTTTTAAGCAAATAATCAAGAAAGTAATAATTGAATGTGGAATAATAATATTAAGTTTTTTGTTGTCAGGAGGCGATTACATATTTACTAGTATTCTTCCTGGTCAGTATGAGGTGTTGGTTGATAAAGAAGATTGGTGTTGGGAACAATCTAAACATATTGTTACTGTTGGAACCACTACAAGTAAATGGTCAGTTCCTGCATTCAAGCACTCCGGATATGCCTTAAGCATTGTCTCATCCCACAACACACAGGTGAGTTTTCTTTTTATTTTCATTTTAGTTCATTGAGTTTTCGTTTTATTTTCATGTATAAAGTTCGCGAGGTTGATTATCCACTGTACAAAATCATTCAAATCTGTACTTGTAGACCATTTTCAGTCTATTGTGATCAGTTTATTCTTTTTCGTTATTTGTTAATCTCTATATTTACTGAGTGTAAGTCAACTTTGAAAATAATTTTGAAGAACCCTTCTGAGAAATTAAAATTTTTACTAATTCTTACTATTCATTCAAAATGAAATTGTAAATTGTCTAGAAAATTGTATCGCTGATAATTACATTAAAACATAGTGCCTTAGCTATCAATATTTTCTTGATCCTTAAAATCATCTTAATCATGTTTTCATTTCCATCTCCTTCACCTTTATCATTGTTTCTTTATTTTTTTCCCCTCCTTCATTACTGTGTCATACACTGACACAGGCCCACTATAAGTTTTGCATGTTGAATTTGTGTTTGTCTATCATCAACAAGTTTTCAAATTTAATAAGTTTTTGATCAGCAATTATTTTTAATTGTTCTCTCTCTATGGTTGGATCTAGGATGCATACTATTGATCTTAATTGTTTAATTTTCATCTTTTACAAAATGCATATTTGCGCTCAATGGGCATCAAACTGTGATTCTGTGTGTCTGCGTTAATCGTTGAATGCATTATGTATGATTTGTCATTTGAAGGCCAAAACAAATTGCAATTAAAAAGAAGTGTTATCAAAATCGGTTTCAACAACCAACAATGAGATCAACATTATCTGAATATTAAGTTTGTAAACAACAGGAAATTAAAGGGAGTGGTAAATGATAAATAGCCAGAGGAAAATAGTGTGAATTTTTAGTAATGAATCTATGATGAACATGTGACAAATTTCCTGGAATATAATTAAAATTAGAAAATTACAGTGAGACAGGATATCACAGAGTGAAGAGTACAAGATGCAGATAGGTGATTATCCAATAAAGAGAAAGGTAGTCATTAAACAAGAAGGCGAAAGACAAAAGTTTTGACGAAGGAACAAGATTTGTAACAATACCATATATTATGAAGAGAAGTGAGCATCAAATTGCTCTATTCTTCTGTTTTGAAAAATTACAAAAATGTAAATTTTTTGACCTTGTTTCTAATATCGTTAATATTTGCATTATCAGCAATTTGTTCACATTACTGAATTTATGAGTACATGTGCTTTAAAACTCCAGTTTTCTGTGATAATTGGCTCAAATTCCACATTTTCAGAAACGTACAAACATCATTTTCTCAAAAATTGCTCCAAATTTTTTCTTCAAACTATTCCAATGGACAATACTACTTGCACTGTTTAAAGTGGCATACTGTTTATTTTAGGGATTTTTTTTCATTTGTTGATTCTTTTTTTTTTCTTTTCATGTAGATAGATTATCGACCTACATCAAAGCCTAATAGTGCACCTGAGTCTTGGAAACGGCTTACTGTTCCTGAAGGTTCCTCAAAGTCATGTGTTATTCATTCTGGTGAATATGAAATTGTACCAGTTGGCTGCCATGGTTATTCTGACAAGCAGATGCGATATTCATTGTCATCAACTCCTCTGAAACTTACTGCCATTGCACACACTCTTAGTGGTGTCATTGAGTCACATGAGAACGTTGCTGACCTCACTGTACAAATGTTGCGCGATGGAAACAAGCAAATTGCAAAGTATGTGTTTTCTTAGATATTTAGAATTTGAATAATGAATTGTCTAATGTATGATTATTTATGTTAATTGTTATCAATGCATATCAGAGTAACTAGTTCTTTGAATCTAATATAGTTATAGTTGATGGGTTTGCCTCTGGTTAGTCTTAAGTCACTTCCAGATCATTCTGAGAAATAAGATAATTTCACTCCAACATGCCATGCCACAAATGAAAATTAACTCTTAGTACTGTGTCATTTGTTGCACCAGAATGACAATACTTACACATAATAATATTAATTGATATGGTCAGTACGTTAATATTATTTCAATTGTGTAAAGAATGTGGCATGAGGCTATGTACAGTTGAACTCTTCATTTATTGATTTGTGAATGATTTCCTGCATTTTCTACTCGGGAAAGTGTAAGTTTGACTATGTGTGTATTTTGAATTTACGACGTCCAAAGGGAATTGTAAATCAATCTCTTGGTGGAATAAAAATCAAATCCAAACCTCTTGGTAAAATAGCAAAAGGATACCTGACAGAATAAACAGAAAGAAAGAATTTTAATACATATTTTTTTATATTATGAGACAAAATTAGTTATAGTTATAAATACTTTGCAGCATGTGTAATATATACATTCTCAACAGCCTTTGGACCCATCAATAAGATGTGTAGAAAACACAAATTCTTTTCATATTTTCAAGGTCATTTAGTCAATGTAACAAAAATTACTACAATGCTTTATAACTATTTTTTGAAACTAATATTTAAATACCAAGAAAGGTTTGAGGAGAGATTAGAAAGAGAGATTAAAATCAGAGTTAGTTTTTACTCAGGTTCCGGAATCTTTGATATACCTTATATGTTTAGCAAGTTAAAATTGCTGCTCCCTAATTTTTCAGTTTATTTATTTTTATTACGGCTTATGGCTTCTTTTGAGGCAAATATTATTGATTTTTGTTATGCAGGTTAGGACCTTTAAAAGCAGAGCCTTTATCTGGAGGCAAGTTTGCTTATAAGTTCTCTTTGATGGCTACTGACGGTGAGGCACTCACCTTTGTCCCCTCAGCAAGTGCTCTGTTGTTCACACCACCACGTCTGAACCTTGTGGGTCCTTCAGATTGCACTGAGCGGGCAGTGGTATTTAATGCCGACAGAGGACACGTTGTTGAAGGCAAATTTATACCTGCATTACAAGGAGTTAAGGTTTTGGTTCGGCGAAAAGGCAGTGAAGAAGTAATTGTAGCAGCTGAAACTGCAGATGATGGGAAATACAAATTTGATCCTCTCCCTGGTGGAGTAGAATACGAGTAAGTTTTGCCTTTTTGTATTTTGAATGAATATGCTAAATCTTTTTTAACCATCACAATAAGTTTTCCCCTCTCAATACTCTTCAATGACTGATAATAATGGACTTGTAATTATCACACAAGCAGAGTCGGTGGATGCTGGATGAGCTGGGGAATAGGTATGAATGCACTTAGCCAGTCATTTTGTTTTACTCCCTTCTTTTTGAAATCTTCATTACCATAATTTATACACATATATTTTAAAAAAGTTATGATAATGCCTTTGCCCTTTTTGGAATCTTGGGAAATGTAGTTTAAAACTAGTATGATATAACTGGCAAAGACCACCACGGACCATTGAATTCTAGAGCAAGATCCAGTGTGTGTCCCAAAGGGAGAAAATTTTGGTGTGGATTTTGCCTGTATAAATGTTTTTGAAAATTAAAAAAAATTATAACAATTATGGATATACTCCTTTGGTAATGATGTGATTCTTATGTGGTAATTGTTTCAAATAAATTGAGTAAAATTACAAAAACATTGGCTTGGGGGAGGAGGGGAGTCATTGGCTTGAGGGGCATTACCTGCATGTGTCGTCATCCTCCTCCCGAGCTGCCTCTGGAGAGCAGGTGCTGTCACTGCACATAAGTTAATATTCATTCTACACCCAGCACTTTTGTATAATTAATTGCGTGATTTATTGGTTTTGAATATTGTTTTCTGGGCTAATTAATGTGTGTAATACTAGGGTGATTGCAGAGAAGGATGGCTATGTCTTTTCTGGGCCTGATAGCAAGAATATAATGCAAGCTCATAAGCTTGCAGAAATTGTTGTTGAAATTCTTGACAAGGCCAATAGCAAGCCTTTGCAGGTGAGAGTTTTGAAATATTTGAAAATTTACTTTATTTTGATTACTAAATGTACTTTAAAATATGTAACCTTGAAAAACATAATTCTTGGAAGTATTTTAGACTGCAGAAATTTAAAAAAGATTGAAAAAAATATTTTATGATGCCAAATGGTATTGAAGAGAACCATTGTACAGGAATCACGTAGTGCACACTATACAGTTTTGCTGTGTTTATAATGTAACCTATTGCAAGTGATAGTGTTTTTACTGAGCTCTTGAATTTGTTTACTCTTTACTCTCATTCTCCTCTTAAATCTCAGTAGCAGGAATAAAACCTGTTTAATATGGTTTTTCTTTCAGGGGGTTCTGTTATCTTTGTCAGGAGGAGAAAGCTTCCGCCAGAACAGTCAAACAGGTGCTGATGGGAAAAGAACATTCAGTTATCTCAGTCCTGGTGAATATTATCTCCGGCCAATGCTGAAGGAATATCGCTTTGAACCAAATTCAAAGATGATTACTGTTGAAGAAGGAGCTACTGTTAATGTGCAGCTCCAGTATGTAGTCAGTGGTTTTTTTATAGAAATACTATTTGATTTGTAATTTCTATCCGAGTTCAAATTTTTGTTTCACAAGTGGGATCAGAACATCAGGATGGGCTTTTGAATTGTAGAGTCGGAATCTGTCTTTAGTGAAACTTCATAGGATTACTTGTATTCTAATGATTTAATATTTTTGTGATCGTGTTTTCCTATAAGTTCATATCAAATTAATTTGAGTGGAAGATAAATTTGCAGTCAAGTTTATCACTAAAGGAAGTAAGAGTCATTTGTTTGTAAGAGAAGCCCCATCTCTGCTTCCAAAATTTTAGTTTTTTCTATTTCATAAAGAAATAGAAATGCACTCTTGTTTTTGTATTTAAAAAACAGATTAAAGAAATTTCTTTCAATATTGATACTGCTTACCGGGCTGATTAGACCATGGTCCAGTCCAAATAGTTCTTTTCGACGCTTTGTCTGTAAGAGCGACAGACATCTTCAGTGTCGCTGAGGGAAGGTTTTAATGTACTTTTGGTTGGCTCCTGGCTTAATGGTTACTAAAGGTTTAGAGATTCCTGGTGGATTCACCAGTCAGCCATGAGCTGTTCAGAGCTGGCATTATGAGGTCTTTTCCCCATTAACACTGAAATTGTTTGCTGAGGTTCAGACAAAAATGTTTAAAAGAACTATTTGGATTTGTGCACATCCTATTAGCCAAGTAAGCAATATCAATATTGACAATGTGAAAGCTTACTTTGTTTTATAAATTACTTTCAGTTGTATGTTTTTTAATTAGTTGATTACTTGTTTGAAATATAATTTTTAGTTAAATGTTGTAAGTAAAATAATACTGTATAAGTGATTCATTGGCGATTCTCAGGGGTCTCCAGGTGGCATTCAGTGCATATGGAATGGTGACTTCTCTGAATGGGGAGCCGCAGAGTGGAGTGGTTGTGGAAGCAGTTGGAGAAGGCCCTTGTCAGCAGTATCAGGAGGAGAGCTCTACTGAAGCAAATGGACAGTTCAGGATCCGAGGACTTCATCCCCAGGTGAGGTTCTTTAAATGTGGAAATGCATGTAAATATGTTGTTTTCTTCAACGTTAAAAATTGAACTGTGGTTAAGGAATAGTATCTTAAAAATTCTGCTATTCCTAAGGCATGTGCACTTTTGACTTGTAAAATTTGTACCATCAAAGGAAGTAATGTAAATGCTAGTACTCTGCAGATCTTTAGTTTAAGCTACAATTCTGTAATTGATATTATTGAAGTTATAAAGATGCATTTGGTAGATTAAGAAACGTTAAGTTGTTGCTATTCGTGAATTCAGTAATATATTTTGATAGAATATAATAATTGTAAATAAAATCAGTCCTAAAAAATAGAGTAACAACATAATGACAAAATCGTAACAGAATTATCATAACCTAAATTGGTTACTACCAATTTTCTAATGCTGATTGGACCATACATTGGTCTGTGAAGTTAACTGGCGGTAATATATAATGTTGCAAATTTGTTTACGTTGCGGACATCTTGTAAATACTGACATGTAATGTAAAAAACTTTCAATAGCTTCTGTGACATGATGAATTTTAAGAATATTGAGAGTTAAAATTTTGCTCAAATGGACAGAGCCATCATAGGTCTGCTCTGAAGCATGCTGATGAGCAGATTGGTCTATGTCAATATGTCATTTCTGTTAATAGTTTAAAACAATGAGAATGAAACTCTTGGATGAGCTAAAAAAACATTGCTGGAGGAGGGGGAGGGGACGTGCTTCATTGTCCCCGTGCTCCCTGTTTGTGATGTTCATGATCTAGAGCTGGAAGTGAGAATTAATCTTTCAGTGAACAGAGGTAGCAGTTGATATTAGCCACTTGAATGTTGCGTTTATTGTAATTAACTCTCTGTACGCTCTCTGAAAGTTTTATATCTCTTGAAGAATGGAAGTAAATGTCCTTGAAGCAATATTTTTAAAATATGTATTGGATGGTGTGAACTCATTCATACTTGATTTTAAACATTATCAGTCATTGTTGGACAAAAACAAATTTAACTGCTGGTGAGTTTATTCTATACGTATCTAAATATAAAAACTAATCTTTGAATTTTACTTACTTGTAATTTCATATTATTAAATTCTATTATTAGTTTTGAAAATATCTGGACTACATCTTGGCATTATCAGGCTTTATGTTTTTACTGTAAATATTCTGTTGTCTGAGTTTCACATATCTGGAGTCAAGGAAAAAGTGTTTTCAAGAACTATGCTAAAGAATGACACCATGCACTTTGAATGTAGAAAAAATAAGTGTGAGATAGGTGCAAGAAAAAATAACTTAAGTGCATTGCTTAACCATAGTCTGCTAGTATGGTTACTAATAGGCTATAGTTTAATTCAATGGGGTAATTTCCCCCTTCTCCCGGGGAAGAAAACAATTGCTCATGTGTTGAGATAAATATTGAAAACATCACTTTATAGCGAATGGATATTCTGTTGACAGAATGTCAATATTGAGAGGTGATCAAAACAATTGTACCCAGTAGGGCTAGACATAAGATACTAGTGGGGAATTCTACTTGCTCTGAATGGGGGAATGTGTCTGTGGTTACTGCTGGCTACTGCTATGGGCTAGATGTTGTTGATGCTGAAACATTGGTTCATTTCTTTGAAGAAAAATAAACTCAGCCATTCCATGAATGCCTGTGAAATTTTAAATATTAGGAGATGGTACAGTGTTTTTCTTTTTCTAGTGTGATTACACTGTACGGGTGAAACAAGGTCATGCTGTTAATGAACATATTGAGCGATCTACTCCTGTTGGGATCCAAGTGAAGGTATGTTCTTGGTGCTAGGGTATAAGAGAATTCAATATGTTTTTTTATAATATTTGAATGTAAAATATATTTGTGAATTTTGATTTACTAGTGTCAAGAAAATGTTCATTAAAATGTCTGCAGAATCCTTGTGAATGCCTGTGTCAGATTAATTAAAATTGTAAATAATTGTAGAGTTCGCATCTTCATTTATTTAATTTCTTTTGGCAAAACATTTCAACATGATGATGGTCTTCATATTTTAAACACTCGTGATTAAATGTACTATATTACAGACAAAAAACAAATAAATGAGAAGGTTTTCTGCAATAATGATATTAAGAGGTGCGGATAAAAATTTCACAAAAATTAAGAGAGGTGTGAGAATGTAGAGCATTGAATATTAATAATTAACATTGTCCATATATTTTATTGTTAACTAACTTGTATCACTAAAATTCTATATTGTGCTTCAATATTTGCACGTATGTGTCATTTAAAATACAAGATAATAGATTGCTCCGTTATGGAGTGGATTTGTTTTGCAATATAGTAAGTCTTCTAATATTTGAGCAGCTCTAAAAAATGTAAAGTTATTATCTAATTTGTTACAGGCCACTGAAGGAGATGTGACAAATCTTCGCTTGATTGTATTTCATGCCTGGACTCAAATGGATGTTGCCCTCCTTGTGGAAACCTCTTCTGCTGACCATTTACGTACTTTGAAAGCAAAGTTGTGTCGTGAAGATTCCCCTGATTCACCTCTTCACATCATCAAGCTGGACTCGTATGCAGGCTCACCCCCTGCCCGTCCTTCCCACACATGTATGGTGATGTTCCCGCAAATCCCTCTAGATGGACATGGCTACTTTGTGCAATTGGAGTCGTCTTTGTCTCGAGCAACTCATACCTACACTACTCATGCTGTTCACTTTAGAGCAAACCACACGTTTAAACAGTTGCGCATAGCCTTCCGGCCTGAGCCACGTGTAATGGATCAGGAATTGAACCACTCTTCGTATTTTGCCCTACCCCTTCTCATTGTTTGTGTCCTCCTGTGGATGAATCATCAGAAAGTGATGCCTTTCTTGAGCAAACTTGCACAGGTGATTAGCCCTCCTCCTGGAGGAATTTCTGGGCGTTCAGGTGGAACCACACACCGTGACACACATGTGACATCAGCTGCTGAAGCTGCAGCAGACGCGGTAATGGTCGAGCCAGTGTTGAATGTAAGAAGTAGAAAGTCTAAAAGTCGAAAGACTTAATACTACTTTCTGCATCAAAGTTCTGAAACAATATCAGAATTTTCCAAGAGTAGATGAAGATGTGTATATGAAACAAAAATTAAAGGATTGTTGTATTTTGTGTTAAATTAATTCTTGGCAGAATGGAAGTGGTGAAGGATATACAAGAGATTTTAGTGCATGAGAGAAGGGAGAGCAAGGGTATATGAATATTTGGTTACAAGAATTTGTATCAGGAATGTTTATAAGTTAAAACCAGACCAAGAGATGATTGTGTTTCTGGCGTGCATTTCTATGAACATATATTTTGATTCCTACTTCATTTTTAATGTGCAAATGTTGGTGAAGTTGTGTATTTGTAGTTCATACTTTCTGCACAGATATGGCATTTTTAATTGGGGTGTCTTAATGGGTGGTGATTGTTGTAATATTTGCTTATTGAAAATATTATGTAATGAGTTCTTTAATTCCTCTAAGTGAAGAGCATTCAGTTTTGTAAATGTCTCATTTTTGGATGAGGTATTCAGCCTTACAGCTCATTACTGTTTTTAATTCTTGGTTGTGATTTATAAATAACTAAAACGGGTCATTTTTCAATGTAATTAGTACATTTTTATAAAGAAATTGTTGAATAGCTTTTTTTTTGCTGGGGCAAATTATTTGATTATGTAAATTCCACAAGGGCACAGAGGGCATCAAGAAATCTGAAAAACACCTTAAATTTTGTGTTACAAGTTATGTATATGATCGGTTTTATTTATTTTTGTTACCTCTGTTTCCAATCATTATGAATATTGCCTGGTGTCTTTGAATGACTTCAATATTTAATTTCTTGTGAAAAATTATGATGTCTCAACGAAGAATTGTGATCATCTTTCAGTTAATGCTATTTATGATGTAAGCCTACTGTTAAAAGATACTCTTTGTTCCTAAGTTTTCTTTGTGTAAAGTCTACACTATAAACATATTTTATTGTACATACATTGAAAGAAATGCATATGTATCTAAAAATATGAACCCAGAGCTAAATATTTCAATTTTTGTTGTGTCATTGTTTGAAATCATTTAATGCATTTAAGTTTTTCTCATAACTGTAACTCAGACCATTCAAAAATTAATGCCATAAATGTATGGGGAAGTTCTACATATCTCAGAGTAGGAATAATTCCTATAAATAATATTGTTTTGCAAATCCTAATGCACTGCCAAATGCTCTAGTCAAAAGTTTGTATTGTCTGGTGTAGCATGTGTATTTGGCTCGGAGCTTCCCAATCCATTATCATTATTTTTAATGTTGATAACTGAGATAAATAAAATTTGTTACATTAAAATTGATACATTTTCTTCTTTTCTTTTAATATACTATTATTTTTAAGTGAATGATAAAATATTATTAGAATGAAAAGGAGCATGTTGAAAGTGGTTTTATGAAAATCATATAGTTGGGAAGGTTCCTGCTCGTGTTCTTGAAATAATGAAGGTGATAATGGGGGTTTGAACTGTGAATAATGTGGTTTTAAGGTGACAGATAACTTGAGTATTATAAAATTATAATCATTTAATAATGATTCAACATTCAATTAAATTAAAACTTATACACATTTTTTACAAAACAGTATGTACAATGATACGAATACAGGAGTTCCATACAATTCATATAATGTAAATTAATGTAATATAAATAGAATTGCGATTGCCTTTTGTCTCAAGTGTGTTTTAAAAGATACATTTAAGGTAAAAATAATCTTAGTTCTTGAAATGGAATTCAAAAACTATGATTATCACATAAAAAAAAAAAGGAATGACATTGGTTTCAAAGTTGGACTGGCAAGTTCTTTGGTAGTTCAAGTTAGACTAACTGTGAAATCAAAGATTTTTACATTGTTAGATGCATTGTTACTGAATAATTATTTTTAGAGTTGTGTAAGTAAACTAAATTGTTCAATTAAAAGCTTTTCATTGTAAGCATTGTTCAAATTTGCCAAACTATCTACGTTAAACTAGATCTTTTTGGTAGTTCAACTTTTAAACGATGAATAATTCATGTAAATAATATTTCCTTAAATAGAAGTTTTCAACTGCATTCTTATTAAATTGTGAATTCTGTGAAATTGTGAAGTAATTCTTAATAAATGAATTATTTTCACATGAATATTCTTCGGTTGGCAGAATGACAAGAAACTGAGTATTTCAGCATCAACACAAGTTAGCCAACGTTTGTGAATCGATGCTTACAGTTTCTACACGTTGCACACAGAACCCGCCACCAATATGATTTGGTGTACATTAGTGTCAGTATACCACCCAGTGTAGATCTCGTTCTAGTTCCGACGCAGGAAAGATGTTTCACGAGATCCATCGAAGGAATGCTGATCGACTTGCTCGGGGAATGAGGGGCTGTCAGATCCCATGGCTGCGTGTCATCACGTCCCACGTCGTCCGGCAGTCTGAATGGACCGCTCCGCAGTCTGTCGTAGGAGTCACGTCCTCGTCAGTTCCTCCCAATTGCGCCAACGGGTTTCTACGCAGAATGAAATACGTACTGGATTTCGAGTTCACTGGCATACAGAAACAAACAGAGAAATATACTAGGATTTATTTAATCGTGTAGTTTACCTAAAACAGCTGTTCACAGTTTCATGCAATCGGAAGTTTGACGTTCCTATAGTGACGTCACTAGCGACATTCAAGCTCCCGATTATATGAAATTCGAACAGCTGATTTACGTCAAGTGCACGACCAAATAAATCGTACTTTATGTACATGTGAAAGAGTCCGTGTTGGAAGCGCAAGCAAGTTCTGGATGTGTGTACACGTCGTTGATATTGTATTGTGGATGCGGTGGACAGGATGCTGCAACGAAAGTTTATTTTGCATTTTTGTATTAAAAAAAATTCAAGTAGTTTGGTTATTTATGAATTGAAAATTCTATAAAATATATTTCCATATCCTTACTGAATTTTTATCTGATCAGTTTCAAAGGCTGACAAAAGACATTTCGTAGAAGTAAAACAAAACAAAAAATCCAATGTAGCAGGCACTCTCCATAACTCCCTGCTTTTGGCAGTGGTAAAGCAGGAGAAAGAAAATTGTAGGTTACCAAGGGGAGTTAAAACATTTTACTTTTCACCCTCCCGAAGAGCCCTCGGTGGACGCAAAAAATGTCAAAAATACCTTTTAGAAATAAACACGATTGACTTCTGTTAACAAACGAACTAAAAAGAAAAGAAGCATAAAAAAAATTAAGCCATATAAAGCTGGGAGCGCCCAAAAACCAATTTAAACCAAACTATATCTAAAATTTTAAGCTAATTAAATGCTCTATTCCTGAATTTTAGGCTCTTTTGGATTTCTCAAAATCGTGGGCACTGCTAACTTCAGACTTAGGCTAACAAGGCGCACCTAGAAAATCCATCCAAAAATCAATTAAAAAAATGTGAAACCACACCCAAAATTTAAGGCTAATTTGATGTTTCTGAAAAAAAATTATTTCCGCATTTATATTCCAAAAATCGGTTTTCGAAACATAGATGGTTTTACAAAATCATCGATGTATAAATAACATCGATATTTTAAAGCCAAGGTTTTTAACATTGATGTTGTGTGTTCGATATTTTCACATGGTTGATGTTGCTTAAATTAAAAAAGGGCCATCCTAACAAAATTCTTAAATAATTTTCAGATATCCATAAACTGAATATTCTTCAGACCAAAGTGACCATAGAGTGGAAAATAAAATTGATGTTTCGTCACTAAAGAAGCCGGCATTATTTTTGAATTATCGAATCAGATAATCAAAGTTTTGTTAATTATCCTGATGATTTGTTGACTTAACTTTTTTTAGATAAATCTCAAGTAAAAATTAATAAACTAAATCATCTCTGCGCGTATATTTAATGGTTATTTATCAATTTTTAAAAACATCGATGTTTTCATTTCGAGCATCGATGTTTGAGAAACGTCGATGTCGCTTCTCATACTCTATACTCGCAGAGGGGTGGGCGCTTACCCGAGGGCGCGGAGCAGCTGGCGCAGGAGCGGCTGGCCGGCGGCGACCGCGGCGGCCACGCGCGCCATCTCGCACGCCAGGCGGCGCCTGCAGGCGGGGCCCGCCTCCAGCAGCGCCGCCCTGCAACCCACACACGTTCACCCTTCGTACAGCTGGCCGCTAAATCGAGGTTATACGAGTGGATAGGGGATAGCAAGCTTAATGTCGCTATTTATAACGTAGTTAAATGGGCGCGTGTTCAACAATTTATTTACAAGAGTAAATTACAAAATGTCAAAAGCACTTTTGGGATTTCAGTATAGAAAATAATTGAATTATCTGTTTTTACATTATTTTTCTGAATACTCTTTTCTCTTTCCAGATTGTAAGCATCTATTCTTATCTGAAAGAGAAATTAATCCTCTGAGACATAAGGAATATGTTTCACTGTTGTAACTAAACTGACAATGCGCCCCGGTGCAGGACGATACTGAATTAACTGTACAGTCTGCTCTCTTCAACTTCGTACAGCATTGCAGTTGAAAATTGCGAATTTGTCAGGTAGCTAATTGAGGGACACGTGTCTTATGTCAAAATCTATCGGTTAAAAAGAAAAAGAGGCCATTAATTGTGACCACGTAATCGAGGTGACTGTTTGAGTGGGTCACTCTAATATCAATACAGCCACTTTGTTGGGAAAGTCAGTATGCCAATTAGAGGGGGGATTCGGGAATCGCCCTCCTTAGAGTTTCATTCCGTTGCTAGAAAAGTATTCTTTTAGCCTTCTCAGAAGACCAACTAGAGTTCCTCATTTCTAGACGCCTCATTTATGATTTCAACTCTTAGAAACGTTCAAATCAAAGAACACATATCAAGGAAATTGAAAACCACAAAAAACAAACGAACAAAGAGGTTGGTAATAACGAGAATGTTTATGGACCCAGTTGCATTGAGTATCGCTACACGCCCCATATAGAAATACATGTGTATGTTATTCAGAATATTCCCTATTAGCAAAAAAATAAAAACTCTGGTTTGTTATCATCTTTGATTATTGATTTCTGTTTTTTCTTTTCTTTTTGAACGTCCCCCCGCTGAAAAATTTAATTTGTAACCTGCGCTCAGAAACTTGGAGCAAGTGCATTCAAGAACAAATCTACACCAAGGACTGTGGATTTGAATTCAGCATAAGGTGCACATCTGATGCGAGATAAGAAAAAGATGAATAAGGAGAAGAAGAAAGAGAAAAGGAAGAAGAGGAAGAACTAGTGGCGCTAAAACAACACATACTTTCTCACCCGTATTCTCACCCAAACTACATAAAAAGAACTGATATTTTCGAAAACTTTTACATGACCTTATTTCAAAATAGAACAGATTTCATTAAGGGAAAAATCTCTATCTTTAATATTTTAGTTGTAGGAAGTCTTCGAAAAAATTTTGAACTCTTGCAATTTTCAAAATATCAGGGTTTTCAACAAGCATGAAACCTGCGCCAGTCTCTTAAACCTCCTTCACAAACCTCATCCAACAACAAAATTTAATCAAACTCGGTGAAGACTTTTTTTTGGGAAAATGTTCAAGTGACTTAATCCAGCCCCTTAAATTAAAATATCGGTTCCAAATTCAATAAAACACATCTACCAGATCGATTGGGGAATATCAGTTTTGGAGAAAATCGGCTGAACGGTTTAGCCGCTAGCGTTGTTCACAGACAGACGGACGGACGGACAGATTTTGCCGTCATTCGTTTTTTCGGAATCTAAGACATACAGAACATGGATTATGGCTACAAGTTAGAGGATTTTTTTCTAAATTTTGCAATTGGATTTATCCACATTTCGTTACCGGCTTCGTAACAAAATGTTTGATATACGTAAAATTCGTCGTTTGTCCGCGCAGCATTACATAACTGGAAAAAACATTAAAACAGGAAAAGCAAGACGAAGTGGAGAAAGGAAATGAAGAATAGGAGAAATAAAAATAAAATGGGGGCAATGATAGGAAAAGAAGAGGGCGAAGTATTCCTTTGGGGCCTATGCCAACAGCAGGCCGTGAAGCTGCCAAGGAAGGCGCGGCGCTCACCCTTTGAGGAACCACTGCAGCGTGTTGGGTTGCTCGCCCGCGCGGGCCGTCACCCCCGCGGCCTCGTGCTTGCGCGGGGGCGGCGTACGCGGCGGGGCCGGTGCGCGCGCGGTAGGGTGCCAGGCCCGGGCGCGGCGCGGGCGCGGCAGCTGGTAGTCGTCCCCGGTCGTAGGCCTGCACGTAGATAGTCGCCGCGGTGTCGGGCGAACTTGGGACTGGGCGTGGCCGTAGCCGCCCGAGCCGATGCCGTAGCCGTATCCCTTGAGGCCGACCACACGCCAGCCCCACGAAACAGCGCCTCCACCACCAGCGCCCGCCTTGAACTTGAAGCGCTGCCAGGCCGTTCGCCACCGAGTAGTAGTCGTAGCCGTGCGCTGCGGGCCCCAGTATTATAGGCGACATTGCGACAGCTGCCCGCGTAAGGTTGAACAACATGTAAAATCATGCTAAAAGGAAGGACACTTGCATAAAGATAAAAAAACAACTACCTATACACACAAATGCATCGACCACGTTCGTTTTTTATAAAATTGTAACGTCGATGTGTAGGGGATCGTACAGCCACAAGGAAACAGACACGAGTGTAATTATACCAAGTTTTAATTTACACCACTGCTTACATATTTACAAACCCTCACTCTAAGCGTTTGCCAGAACTACCACTGCAGCCCTCCTCTCCCTAACATGCGCCTTACGGCGACGCCTACGGACCAGCGGCAAGGCCGCTCGTAGATTAGGCACCTGTGTGCCCGGGCAGATTGACGATCTGCCCGAATGTGTTTGAAGAAACAATCCACCCTGTCCGAACTCGTCGAACAACCACGGTGCCCTCGGCACGCCGCACCAGCCTGGCGGACAAAGTTTTTGTGGTCGTAGCCACGAGTGGAAACCAAACGTTACCACTCGCGCCGTCTCGCCACGGCGTCTTTATAGGTCCCAGTCACCTGACCTCCTTTACGTCACTCTTCCCCGCCCCCGCGCGGTGGAAAAGCCTTTCCCTGGCGCTGCCTGGCCCCGCGGACCATTGACTGTCGGAAGGTCCCTGCTTTGTTCTATCTTTAGATCCCCCAGCCCTCTACCTTGCACTCGGCTGCTGCCAAGCCGTGACGCTACAAAATATTTAATTTAGACTAACATCAGCTCTATTTCTTTCGTTTCCCCATTTGCGATTGAATTGAAAAGAGTCGTTCACAGAATGTGGATGAAGATGGTCAACTCATCCATTCCTTTGTCTTTATTGACTTAATCAAGGTCTTTACTGAATGCAAATTTAATAAGCAAAGAGCACACATAAACTACAGTGATGTAAACCAGAAACTGAAGTTGATCAGATACTCCATAAGCTTCGTCCTCTAATAAATCTCAAAATCATCTCAATCCTGGAAATACATTTTTCCTATAGAAATGTATTGTCCCTCGTTTTCAATTTAAGGATACCTCACCTGATGTCATTCTACAATACATCACACAAACAATTAAACAATTTTCATGTTTTTCAAAACAAAATTCCCCATATAGTAACCAACGTCCCATGGTTTGTCAGAAACGGAACCTTTCACTTTGATTCCAACCTATAATTAATAAAAGAACATTTTATTCATACCTGTCACAATTTCTACTTCCAACTTCCAAAAAAAGTTTCACCATTCTTTCACAATACCAGTGTATTTAATCCTTTTTTCATGGGCATAAAAAAACATTTCACACCTTCTTAAATTGCTTCGCTCCATTTAACCATTAAAACATAACGTTAGAGATTTCAATCACCTACAAGTGGTTCTCTAGTGTTGATCAATGGGTTTCCTGGCCCTTTATATTTTATTACAGAATAGGCCATCAATCATCTGTAGGGTTCAAACGATAAATTCTATCAATAAATTGTGGATTTGGGGCTCTGCACTCGTGACAAACATATTTTTAACGCACACAGCTCAGATTAGTATGGCGACATTGAAGGTTTAGAATTGGCAGATGAAATATAAGAATATTTGTAGATTTTCGCGGCCAGTCTTTCAAATGCTCTCGGCTATCTGGGTGACGTTTCGCATTTCGGCACATTTCGGAAAGCGGATTTGAGGTTTCAAACCTGAGGCTGTAACGGCTGGAACGCAGGCAATTTTATACATGGAATGACCAAATAACTACACAAAGACATGTTCATACGTAATAATGACGGAATTACATCTTTTCGTTACTATACAAGTAAACGATAATTTAAAGTAAAGTAATCAAACGGGGAATTAATGAAATACATAGTAAAATCATTCTTTCAGCCATATTCTATAACATGACATTTGCTGGTGAATGTCTAATGATTTCCATTTTTGTTATCGCTTAAGGATTCCAGACACCTTGAAGCCGTATGGTGGAATGGCAAAGAGAAATTGGCTTTTTAGTTTATGATCCTTTCATGCTGAAGTGACTCTGGGCAGACCTGTAACTGAAATAAGCTTTATTGTACCATAATTTTACTAGGACTGGGAAGGTTTCCAGAATTTCGATTAAAGGTGTTCTTTAAGCGTGAGTTTTTTTTATTGGTCGAAAAAATATTCATCAAAAGGCGCAAAGCTACCATCAAAAACATACTCAAGTTTTTAACTTTGCAACTGGTTTTAAATTTTTCCAATAGCACTTTAAATAAAAAGCTTTAAAGATGCGCTTTTCTTCCTTAAATCCACCAGCCAATGTAATACTCATACTCCTCCGCAAAGCTGTCTTTAATTTTCTGATTTATTGGGTCGAACATAACGCTGACAGATATGCGCATATTGCGTTTTCTGCCTCCAACGCGTATATTTCGAACCTTGAGTGATAAATATTTATATTGTTCTTGCTGCGGTCATATTTCTTTATTAAACCGATTTCATGAGAGGCGCGCCGAATAATCACATTTCTGCTTTCAATTCCATGGTTTTTAAATGCGAAAATTCAAAATATTTCCGGTAGAGCAGAGATACGAAAAGAATACGTATGCGAAGAGATTGATTGGATTCTCTCCACCCATTCTCGTGGTTCATTCTCTTTTCCATTTGCTCTCGCCGGTCTTAGCCGTCAACTGTTCACGGAGACACTCTGGGCAGCCGGAGCCGACTTTCCCTCGTCCTGTCACTAGTCGGTGTCACTTTAGAGACGTACAATTGAAATCTATGGCTGATATTTAAAAGTTTGCAATGGGTTTATTAATAGGACTAATTTCCAAAGTATCTCATGTCCATGAAATACAATTTTTCAGGGAGGAAAAGTAATAATATCTTGCTTTATAATTCAAGGTAGAATTCAATGGTTTCCGAATTACGTTTAACAACGAAGAAACAATTTTTGAACACGTCAGTTGGAATGAGAAGCGTCGTAATGAGTAAAATTTACTCACACTTTTACCTTGACGTCACCTGATTAACCCTAAGGAAAATATTTGGTGATTACCTTTTTAAATTATAGTAATTAATGAAACAAGTGAATAAAGAAGGGTATAATTGCATGAGTGGTATGTTCAAGAAAACGAGCGACGATAGGAGCGAGTTTTCTTATTTACCACGAGTGCAATTATATCCCTTTATCCACATGTTACATTCCATACTTTTTCGTTTCCATTTAAGAATAATTTAAATTGTGAGATATTCAAGCACATTTTTGCCATTCGAGACAGACTTTAGATGCCGTATAGACTCTGCAAAAGACCTATTTTTGTTGGCCTATCATTGAGTTTTTTTCCAAGAAATGTTTGCATTTGAAAGCTATTGTTCATATTCCGCATGAAATACTAGAAGAAGCTGACAAATCCATGAAAACATTACTTCCTACGTAAAGTTAAAACAGAAGTGAGAATGTAGCGTATTATAATATAAATATGTGAAGTAAAAAAACTAGTCAATTCTGACACAGCTTTGCTAGAGTACTTTTAAAACAGGTAAACACAACTGACGTTTACCTATTTACTTTTCCGCTACCGCTTCCATGGTAGAGAGAAAGTTATGCAATGCTGCGCCAAAAAGCTGCAAATTTCCGGCACAAAACCTCTTATTTCATGGACCTGGCAACGAAAACGTAAGAAAATACAGATGATAAATTAAAAAAACTCTAACACTTGGTTTAACCAGAATCCATGATTTGTGGAACCTTGATATCGAAAAATCGATTGACGATAAAACCGTTACGTCCCTGTCTGTAAACACGCTAGCGGATAAACCGCTAAGCCAATTTTCTCCAAAATTAATATTCCCCAATCAATCTGGTTGGTGTTGGGGCCCTTTGTATTTGAAACCGATATTTTAATTTTTGGGGGTACTTTACATGAAGCCCTGGGAGGTTTTCAAATTTTTCTAAACATTGCGCAATGGATTTTGATTTAATTCTGTTGTTGAATAGCCTGGATTGTAAAATTTAATTATTTGCTGATTACATCTTATTGTATGTAATGGGATAAACAGAAGCGGACATTGAATTTAAACTGCAGAGTGTATTTATTGCAATACAAGAATTTTTAAGGGTAAATAAATTAATAATGAATGTTGAAAATACTAAATTTATGATTTACATAGAAGGGAAACTAATTTATTCACAACTGACTTGGAGGGTATACAAAATGAAATATTTAGAAATAATTATCGATAGTAAACTAAATTTTAAAGACTATATAGTACTTGGCAAAGAAAACTGAAAAAAAGATTAATATTTTAAAAAGAATTGGGCAATATATGAATGGATATACAAGATGCTTGATATATGAATCCATACTAGCATCACATTTTGACTACTGTGCAATAATACTAGTTGGTGTCCAAAGAACTGAAATTAAAAACTTCAGATACAACAAAACAGAGACATGAAAGTAATAATTCAATGCAATAGATACACTCCAGTGCTAGATATGTTAGACAGTGAAATTTATGTCAATAAAAGATAACTCATTACACAGCAATAATTTTTATTTTAAAATTAATTAAAAATCATATGACAGGAGATTTGGTAAACAAAATCCACAGAGTAAAAGATGAAACAACAGGGGAAACAAGACAAGCTCAACATTTAGTAATTAATTTCAGTAAAACTGCACAGGCAAAAACCAGATTATTTGACAAAGGATTGAATTATATAATAAATTACAGTTAGAAATAAAAAATTGTGAACAAATGAAAGAATTTAAAATTATAAAATACATAAAAGTAGAAAACTAATTTTGTAAATAGTTAAATATAGTATACCTACAGATGTAAACAATGTATGTAAATGTATGTTTCAAATAGCTGAGAAGGCTAAATAACCCAATCTATCTATCTGAAGAACGTTTAAGAGAATGGAATTGAAAAAATCAAAATTTTTCGGCGCCTTCCTACAGTTACAATTGAGAAAAACATTTTTTCTTAATAAATTGTGTTCATAAAAACAGATCTAAAAATGTCATGTTCAATTTTTCAAAAACATGAGTATAATTTGCGAAATTTTATGTCAAATAGAGGCAATTTTTATTTTCTTTAAACCATTTTTTCTTTAAAACAGCACAACATTTTTTGATTATTTAGACCTTAGAGTATAGGACGTTTAAGAGAAGATGCAGGTCTCATGTTCGTTAAAATGTCTAATTTTTTGAAAATTTTAAAAATATTAAAACAATTTTGGCGTTTCCGTACAACTACAATTATGAAAGTAGATATTTTTTTTCTCAATCAAATCTGTTTTTGAAATAAGGTCGGGGAAATAAATTTTGAAGTAAGGTCATGTGTAATTTTTTGAAAATTTGAATACTTTTCGCGTAATTTCGCGTTAAAATACGGGCGAGTAAGTACATGCAGTTTTAGTATCGTTAGGTTTTCGATGTTAAAAGAATAGGTTTTTGGAAGAACAAACATTGACAGTGTATCTTTATTACGTTATTTTCACTAATATTTAATTCTTTCGTTGTACTCTTTTGAAGTTAATGGGATGCGATTTCTTTGATACTAAAGAAATAGAAAATAGTTGATATCAAATACATAATTTTTCGTACATTTTGAGAATACTTTGCATAGGTAAAGAATTGGTTAATTGTCTAAGCAGTTTAAGGTCCATATTGTATCCTTCATTTCTTTGAACATAAGGTTTTTTGAAAAAAATGTTCAAGAGAAGCATCATCAAGCATTATGGACACAGGTGATATTATTTTGTGGATTCTTGGCTTGAAATATAAAATTGTAATTTCGCAGAAACACCCTAGAGACACTAGAGACAGTCTTTTTTTCTGTCTGTCGAAAACTCATCTCTGAATCGGACCAAAAGGCTTTAACGCAAGTTTCTCTCGAAGAGGTGAATTCCAAAGTGACTTAAGATCATAATGCTTGTCTAGGGTCAGGAACTCGCGAAGACACAAATGTGAAGTAGTGAGTAAAGTTTGCACATGTTTAGCATTCTAGGTCTAAGAATGCATTTATTGAACGTAAAGCTAAAAAACAAACGGTAACGGAGGTACGTTACGTTGAACGGCGCTAGGTACAGGCACTTCATAATAAGGCCCAGTAGAAAAAGTAGTTGACCCTCTTTTTTTTGAATTTGAGTTAGTTGAATTAAATGAAACTTCAGCCATTATTCATCATTGGGATTATATGAAACAAGACATTTTTGAGACAGTAAGGCACGTCATCTTAGCAGAAATACATATCGGATAAACCCTAGAAGGCAATGGAAGTTGGTTATGTTAATTCCTAACCAGCACTTACAAGAATGAAAATAAATAAGTTTTCTTAGGATCATTGAGAATCAATATGGCCGTCTGAAAGGTTGATACGGAGGTTACTGAGGTTAAAATACATGAGTATGCTCATTTTGTACTTATACTACCAAAGATAAGAAAAGATATCCTGGAAATATATAATGGAAAGGGAATACAAACGGTGTGCAGGTGAGGAAAGCAGTTGTTTTTTGAAAACCATCCCCAAAATAATAAGTTTACAATGAATCTCGTGTGGAACAGGCCATATAACTTGCCGTTTTAAGTTCGTGTATCTATGCTGGGAATGGGCTGATTTGAACATAGCTGCATGTTCCCATTACACGTGTATTTGCGGAAACATTAAAATGTTGGTATTTATGTTATGCCAAAAAAATGACTTGATATGTTTGAATAATTAATAGTGACATAAATAAAAATTAATAGTAACATAAAGCTGAAATTAGAAACATCCTTTGAGAATAGTATAGAAAATATCAATGGACATGATGTGCGATATACCTGAGAAAAAAATTGTAAACAAAAATGTGCATAAGTTTTCAATAAAATTTTTCTATAATTTTCAAAACGTTTAATTAATGTTAGTAATAAGTATTTCACGATTTATGGGTTATTTTATGAGTTATAGTAAAAACCGAAACATATCAAAATTTTCCCAATGAAGGGTAGCCCCTTTTTAAGGAGCCGCTTAAACGTTACAAGTAAAGATATCTTGAATTTAATAACATAACATTATTGCACCAGGAACAATTACTGTAATTATAATACCAATGCAGAAGATTTAATACAAAGTGTGGTTCCTTGGCAAATTGGAAATTTTTATTATTAAAGACAGTTCTAACAATAATGTACGATTGTAATAATCTCTAAGTTTCTAGTTATGCACCCGATGACAATTCTTTCATGAGTAAATACTATCATTGAAAGTCTTTCGTTTCAAATTTATTTGCCGTATCTACTGATAATACATCGCATTAGTGATATACTGCGATGTGAAGATACTTTGTAACAATGATGGACATCAACCACAACTTTGGGACCCCTGCTTTTTCTAGAGAAGGGTTTGGAGAGAGCCTAACTTAATTTTTGAAAGGCAAATACAATTATTTTTCATAGTTATTTATAAAAAAAGGCAAAATGACAAACATTTTAATTTACAAACACTTAACTTACAAAAATTTACAAGCATTCACTCACTGTTAATAAAACGCCACCAAATATCTAAATTACAAATATTTTTCTTAACAAACTTTTTAACTGTCAAATTTGATTGATAATGACTTGAAATCTTACAAACAATTTCTAGGACAATGTTCATAATTTAGAACTGCACGATAGTTATATTTAATAAATTTGATTGTTGTCTTTGCACTTTGTCCCATAATTGAAAATAACTCTTTCGAGAAGAATACAAAATTTTCAATTTAGCCTCATTATTTCATAAGAATAAATAATGCTCTTTGTGCCGGCTTGGATAACGAAGGTTGCTAAGCTAGAAGAACCGTGACTGCCTTGGTTTGAAGGGTCACGGGTCCGAATCCCGCCCAGTGCATGTATATGTGTCCGTATGCGTATTTCGCTACAGTTACCACAAAGTTATGAAACCAATGTTAAATTACAGTAGTCGCTTTCTGAGCATAGCAGCTGAAAAGCGACCTTAAATAAGTTTTAAACGAGTGGTGCTAAAACAGCACGTACTTTCTCGCCGGTATTTTCACGCAAAATTTCGCGAAAAGAACTCAACTTTTCGAAAAATTGCGTAGGAAGTCTCTGAAAAAAGTTTGAACTTTTGCAATTTTTGAAAAATCAATTTTTTTAACGAGCGTAAGATCTGCACTATTGTCTTAAACGTTCTTCCGACTATCCCCCCAAAAATTAATAAATAAAGTTAGAGCCTTTGTTTTAAAAATTTTGAAAATGTCCCAGGGGTTTCAAGTAAAGTACCCCTCAAAATTAAAATATAGGTTTCAAATTCAAGAGGTCGCGTTTTCAGCCAGTTTGATTGACGAATATAAATTTTGAAGAAAATCGTCTGAACGGTTTAGCCGCTACCGTTGTTCATAGGCAGACGGAGAGACGCTTTACCGTCAATCGATTTTCTCAGTGTCAAGAACCTGGATGGTCGCGACACCCTGTATTAGAAGATTTTTTTTCTAAATTTAGCAACTGGTTTTATCCACTTTTTCAAAGAGTTTTTGTGCTGAAAATTCGGCGTTTTTTCGTACATTTCATATCTTCCTCTCTACTGCGTAAGCGACAGCGAGAAAATAAAAATACTAACTTACACAGGGACACACGAACGCTAGAAGAGGCGCGTGCGACTCGCAAGCCTCACTGTGGTACTGTTGCTGTGTGTCAAGGTGTGAGGGTTCCCACATTGGCATAACAGGCGACGCATTAGTTGACAGAGCTGCTAAACTAGCTACCTCCTTACCTCTGACCACCAATAATGTCTCACATAATGATATAAAAAAGTACTTCTTCAAGAAAACAAGGAATTGTGGGACACAGAATGGAAAAGTTCTCCACCTAGCAAACTGTTCATGATCAGAAAATCATTTCTTGAAGACCATGCTCCTTGCCTTCAAAAAAGAAGTGATCAAGTACTTCTTACTCGTTTGAGAATAGGCCATTCAGCCTTGACTTACAAGCATTTAATAGCAAAGGAATCCCCAAATCTCTGCGAAACTTGTCATATACCCATTACTGTCATCCACATACTAGTTCATTGACCAAATTTGAATTATTTAAGAAAAAAATATAATCTTTCTAACAACATACAAACCCCTTTAATTGATACAAGTAATGTATATAATGTGATTCATATCCTCGATGAACTCAATCTCCATAAATGCCTGTAAACTACTAGAAATAACTTGTCAAGTTAAATACTAGGTATCTAAAAATCATACCATTATCTTAAGATCTTATTAATGTAATAAAATTTGTTAAATTTTGTGAACCATTTTGTAATATTTGTACTTAAAGTATGTGTTTTTCATATCATTTGTAAATAATTATTTGCTTCAAAATATTGTTAATATTTTGTAAAAACAATGGGGTCGCTCGTGACCATGTTGTTTATGCGACCATAATAAATAAATAAAGGAAAAAAAGAAAAAAAGGTGTAAGGGTTGAAAGACCCTGCGCGTGCGTTTGTGGGGATGGCTGCATCCTCCCCCATCCGAGAGGGCGTTGCCTCGGGAAGAATCCCCCCGTTCCCGATGCCAATCAGCGCGGGGGCAGGTAGAACCGGGAAGGGGCCCCAGGCAGCTGCTAACGGTTCTCTTATTTATAATGCCACTCCCCTCTCCCCCGCTGGGGTTAAACGGCTGAAAGTCATCTCGGAACAGATGAGGTGCTCTCAAGGTCGCAGCTTCCCCTAACAGGCCCGCAACAGACTACAGCGAGGGATGTGAAAAGAAGCCGTTGTGGCTTCGTTCGCACATTCAGAATACGTCATTCGATATCTCGAAATGGTATACGCTGACACTCTATCGGCTTGGTGACGCTGAGTGTGCTATGAAGTTTGCTGGGAGCTTAACGATTATTATTAAGAGAATTTCTGTAAAAACTTGTAATGGTAAATTCTTCATAATCCATCAGTTATTAGGCGATTGATGACCGCATCCCAACAACCAACGATATTTGTATAAGTTTTTTATGCACCAAGGGCGTTATGAAGGCTCTAGTGATTGGCGACAAAAAAACAAGGGCCTTTGGCCCGAGCGCAATGTGTCCCCTGAGATCATTAAACCCATTTAAAAAGCCGGTGTTAATATTTTATTTTTTACCTAATTTTAATGATTCACATTTACTTATTTACTATCTGCGCTTTACTGCTGCTTACTGTCTGCGTTTGTCTTTTTGTATTTCGCTCCATACGGGAACACGCAGCATCATTCAATTGCTTTTCATATTTCTCTCAGAACAAAACCTTTGTTAATAAAGGCTTTGCTCCTAACCACAATGCTCTCGATCCATGTAAGAGTATTTGTCTGTCTCGATCCGTGCAGTGTATTTCGAGCTCCGTGGCGACGACAATAACAAAATGACGTATCAGTAAAAAAACAAACAAAACACGATTGCTTCGCGTTCGCGAGCTGCTGTGCCAGGGGACTCACTGAGCCAGCCGTAGTGCGAGTAGAGGTGGTGCGGATGGCGCGTGGGTTTGTCCTCCTTGCGCTCCAACTCGGTGGTGGCGGGGGCGGTGGCGGCGGTGGCGCCAGCCATCGCCACCAGCAGCACCAACAGCACCATCCTGCGCGCCGGCGCCGGCTGCCACACCGACGGGATCTCGAGCGCCGGCATGACGAACATACGCGCGCACACGGGCGACGCACGCTTCTTATACGCGCCGCCCCCCTCCGGCCCCGCCCCCCTCGTGCCGACCCCGTTCCTCTCGGACGCTGTTTGCGCCGCCGCCGCCACCCCCGCAACTGTCTCCGCCACCGACCCCGGCCCCGCCTCCGGATTTGAATCCACCTCTGACTCCACCTCTCCTGCCTTCGCCTCCGCAACCGCCTCCGCCTACGCCACTACCACGCCTCTACTTCCGCTTCCGCCTTCAGCACTGCCTTCGCCTACTCTCCTCCGGCACTGCCTCCGCTCCTTCGCTCTAGCCTCTGTCACCTTCGCCGCCTCACATCCGCCTCCGATTCCATCTCCGTCTCCGCTTCTGCCTCCACCGTCACCGCCATTGCCTTCTTCTCCATTGCCGCCACCTCGTCTCTCCTCGAAGTTGCCTCCTCCACAACATTTTCAATTTTTACAAATGACCTGTCAATTCTGAAGCAGTTGTTGGAATTTCCATTCTTCCATTATTGTTGCAAGTAATAATGTTGTGTGATACTTCTGAAATACCTTATTCTAACTCAAGGAGGATTTGCCCTGATCCACCAAAATCTTTGTGTTGATTTTTGTTTGCAATTCAGAACGCGAATGAAACTGCCGTTCTTATAGTAAGATTCTGTTCTGTTCATCATAAATTCTGTATTCTGTGTGACAGGGTTACTAAATTGTTTTGTCTCGATGAAACGCTGTTTATTTCTACGATTTCCATTCTTGAAAATCATTTTCTGCCGCCATCAAAGAATATGATGATAAAGGCAGACCGTACTTTGACCGTTACTATTTCTTATTTTCCGTGCAAGTTCTGACTTTATTTTCCCATTTCTATCCAAAATTACCATTTTTTAGAACTGTTCCAAATCGATGACATATAGAAAAAAACAACCAAATGTAATATTGTAAATCGTGCAAACTATTAACTAACCTGAAAGAACTTTCACCCCGTCATTATATTCTTTCTTCTTTCTAGGAAGCAGGGGCAAGCTTGCATGTATAAATGTTATCAAAACAAAGTTTTAATGGCATGTTTCTAATTATCATAACTTAGTGTGCTTGATTTTTTGTCAATCGCGTGACGTAGACCCGAACAGTACATGTATAACAATATTTTTTTTAGGAAAACTATAACAAATAGACAAACAAATCTTACATATATTTAAAGATGTTTAGATACATGACAATGTCACGAAGTATTTTAAAGCTCACTAGTCATGCATACCTGGGGGACAAGTAATAATAACAAGTATTGTTTGCTCTCGATGAAGATAAATATTTAAGACAAATCAGAAATATTGATGGCGTACAACATCTTTTAAACTGCTCTCTTCCTAGCGATGCTCGGAGTTTCTTTCCATTTTCATCATAGCACTCTAGAGTTCGTTGGATATCCTCTGGACGAAAATAGGCTTCACAAATCCATACACATTTAATGAACGTTTGGGAATAATGATAATATCAAACACCTTTTAGTTAAGAGTACATATTACGTTTATTAATCCTTGTAACAGTAACTGTATTTAATATTATTGTATGAATGTAAAAGTATTTAATAACATCAATTAATAATCTTTGCTCCTTCCTGTTTCCATTGAATTTACCACATTTACAGCGTATTGTGAAACCGTGACAGTAAAATAATGAAACATAACTTTACCATATTTGGTCAAGCAGAGAATTTTTCTTTTCCTTTTTAATGCTTACACAACCGTTCAAACTGAGCGTGACTTATTGGGAAGAAAGTAACATTTACTGGCCAGACGCAAAACAAGGGCATTTGCTCAATAAATCAAGAGAAACTGCAGATCATTCGATTGATACGTTTTTGACTCGAAGCTATTCATAGTTCAAAAATGTTTGAGATTTGTGTACCAAATGTTCAACCCCTCAATATATTTTAAATGCTAATCATATCATTGACCGGTAACAAATGTTTTCTTACCTTGGAGTTCTGATTTGCTATTAACATTTTTCTTTTTATGGCAAATATCCATTTCTTTCGTAGAATTTCGTCCTTCGGAATCAAAAACACTGATGCTCGTGGGCTGTTTTTATAATTACCCCCATTAGGGAACATTTTTAAAACCCACATATTGGATTTTAAATACAGTAACAATTTAAATATAAAGTTGCCAATAAAAGCCGCAGAGAAGGAAGCTCCAACACCGTCACAAACTGAACCAAGATGGCCATCGTACATGACTACCTATTTCTACGCCACAAGCAGCTAATGACGTAGTTGCTAGGCCTGTAAGGAATTGCTCCACCCCGCCCGCTGCCAACACCTCCGCCTCTGGGTGTACCCCCACGTTCGCCTTTCCCTCCCCCCAAACCCGGCCCCGCCTCCGCTACTGTTCCTGCCGCCGGCCCTGTCGTCGCCTCTTCCTCCGCCCCCCGCGCCGTCTCCCGGCGCCGACCCCGTTCTTCTCGGACGCTGGTTGCGCCGCCCCCGCCTCCTCCTTTGCCGCCGCCGCCGCCGCCGCCGCCGCCGCCGTGCCGACCACTTTCGGCGGACCCGTCTCCGCCGATGAAAGTTCCGCCTCTCCGCTCTCGTTGCGGCCTATTGTTTACAGCTTCCATTTCGAGTAATTGCGACCATTTTGTGGTGCGTTGGCGAATGTTCCATATGTTGCGCTTTCTGCCGCGAGTTGACGTCTCCGTACGTCGGCTGTCCTCCTGACAGAGTCGTTGAGAGGTTTTTCATTCATTGTCGTAGAGTAGCGTTTACATTCGTGGTTTCATTTAGTTCGGGACAAAAAAGAAACCATCTTCAAACTCTAGAATACTGTATGCGGCATGTTCAATTATTCATTAATAACAAGGAAGGCGGGTTTTCGTTTTGTGTGGCTTCTACGTATTACATATATTACAAGGTACGCCCCTTGTACCTTGCTTCCAGCAAATATAAAAAATGAAAATACTTAAAAAAAAACAGAAGAAATTTTACGTTGCATATTTTACGTGTGTACATTGCCTAAAAAACTCTCTTGGAAAATTAGTCACATTTTAATTCATTAATTACATTGCCGAGCATTTTTCAGAAATTTCTTTCTTTCTTTGGACTCTATTTAATTGACATCACTTGCTTTGAACAAACAACAACAACAAATCAGAAGAATAGAAAAGAGAAAAAACATGGAGATTGTACGCACCTCTTGCTTACACTTACCCTGTCATGCTGGGAGACCAGTCGGGAGTATAGAGCTTGTTCCCGCTGGGCGGTGCTCCGCTGATGGGATACATCTAGTTGGGGAAAACCCCTCAAGTCAACGTGTAGGTTGGCACCATATCTCACCATCTGGCAGGGGATGATCACCGCCTCCTCCCGCGACAAAAACATGCACCACACATACGGAACTAGGTAACGTAACAAATGACACATCCAGAAACACCTATCAATCCTGTTTGGGAGTTCAAATGAACATTTGTGTTTTTCCCATGTTTTACTTTTTGATGTAGTTCACCCCATGTACAAGTTTTGTTTTAATGGCTGTTTTGGTGTGGTATTGTTCATTTCGTTTCTACAAGGCTGCCTGCCGCTGTGAAGCGTTCGAGAGCATTTGTTGCAGGTTCGTCAACTTTCGTCAGTCGTCGCGCGCCCTGTGTCTCTGCCTCTCGCGGCGGATGCCCGCACTTTGCTCGCGGGAACAAGCGTTGCTCTAGCCTCCCGTTCGCCTACACGCCTCCCATTGCTTTAAACAACGCATCCCGTAGTCTTTCCTTCCCAGTCGGTCCCCATTCACACACTTAGGGTCGGGCCACGGATCAATCCCCTACCCCCGTGTAGATGGCCCAAGTTCTATAAATGACGCAGACTGTATTGCAACAATTGGGGTGTCAGACTAAAACTCATGGAGGTCATAAGAGGATCAAGAAAGATATTTACGTCACGTGAACTCAACGTTTCAGGAAACTATCTTCAAAGATTACGTGAATGAACACGTTTCCTCCCGGAGCAACATTAGCCAATTGGACGGGAATGTGCCGCCAGCCCTATCAGCTGGAGAGACCGGGCAAGGAGCGGCCTCCCGCGGGGCGAACCGCCTGGCCTCCGAGGCGCCTTTAAAACGCGTGCGTCCGAGCGCCCTTCGCAGGGTGGCGGGGGGGGGGGGGCGGGGCCCTATCGAGCGCACCGCCGTGCGATGCGGAAGCCTCCGCGAGGGGCGAGGCGTGGCGCGCCCTATCGGTGAACACGGAAACGTCCTCACGGGCAGGTTTGCAGCAGCGGGAGGGGCGCCCTCAGCCGGACCCGGTGGGCGCCGCGCTCGCTCCTCCTAAAAGAAACATAGCACGCTAGTGGTGATACTAGAGCACTACTTTCTCGTATTATCTGTAACAGTTATGCAATGCTATGTTATTGCAGTTTGTTTGCAATTACTAATAATTGAGCCATCTCACCGCAAGAGGTGACTCAGGACGTAAACCGATGTCACTGGAGTGCCTCTAACTGGCAGGTCCTAGGTTCGACTCCCGACGGTGTCAAAATGATTGACACTAGCTTGTCAGCTAAGTCGAATTCAGTCGCTGTCTAGAGGCGAATTCTAGACGCCGGCTGCTCTGATCTTGTAGTTTTCCGTGGTTACGTCGATCAACACCAGGCGAATGCTGGAGTAATGCCCAAACAAACGGGTCACGAACCGCGCGCCATCTTTCCTTCCTCTTTCTTATCCTATCCTAACTAATATGCACTACAATACCATACATGCTGGGCGGGAACTTAGAGCTTGTCCCGGCTACGGTTATTTATTGCTGGTGGGCGATACTGGGTTGGGGAAAACCCCGCTAGCCGACAGATCGTCACCGGAACTCACCATCCAGAGGGGGGATACACTACACCAAGAGGAAAAGATGATTCACTGCATTTACGGGACTAATGACCTTAGCAGTTGACGCGACCAGAATCACTTATCAATCAGTCAATCTTGAGCGTGAAAATCCCTCTTCAGTTAGAAAAACGCTTCATTTAAAGTACCTCCAAATACTAAAAAATACTTCAAATTCGTAGGGCCTAGAGAGTAGCTGCCTCAATCGGAGACTAACCCTTTTGGAGCAAATCCTGTGTTGCGTTTCGAAGCTAGTATCGTTTGCATACCGACAGAAAACGAACAGACATTAAAAAAAAACTTTTCAGTATCATTGACTCCTAAAAGATGTATTCAGTCAATATATCGATGACTTTTTGCAGAACTGTAATGCTTTCTCTACACAACGAGAAAATAAAATCGAAAATCACGGCCATTAAAAGTTGTTTGTGAAAATTTGCTGCCATGCCAAAAATGTTCCATTAGTCCGTGGTCTGCCCCATTTTATTAACTTTTATCTCGAGAACACATCATAAAATCTTTATGAAAGTTTCGAAGAAGCATAGAAAATTATATTCCTTGAAAGAACAAAAGAATGACCAAACCAGTTAAATTGGTTACGATATAAGGCATGAACACACCCAAAACATATCTACAGGTCGAATTGAAGACATTATCTTTGTTTTCAAGCCCGTTTTTTGAGATGACATGTCTAGTTTTTCCAGTCACATCCAATCAATAATATTTCATTTGGAATTTACCTTGTATGTACTTGGAAGAAACAAATATTAAGTAAAATAATTTTGGTTAAATCAATTTTTGGTAAATCTAATATTGCTAAATTTAAAAATTTGCATTAAGGGTAATGTAAAAATGACCTGAGGTGAATACGTTTAATTGAATAATTGTGAGGATTAGAGTTTTAAAAGCTTTAAAAAGCATCTCCCAAAAAGCTTTCGGGTTGAGTCTGGCTCAGAGTTGCCAAGGATGGAATTCCTGGAAATAAAAGCGAAATTGCCGATGACAAAATAATTCTCATTACTATTTGAACGTTAGAGTTCATGTAATTTTGAGCACTTTCTTCTCTTCGAGTGTAAAAAACACCCTACAATAATAAAGAAAAGCTAAAAAAAATAAAAAGCTAAATAATAGTATTTTTGAATTTTTGCTAAAGATTATTAAGAGCCTCATTAAATCTTTCAAAAATCATGGCTGGTGGAAGAAACGTGATATTAAAATGGAGAATTCATTGATATCCACGAGTGTCTTGAAAATTTTCAGTCATGTAATTAACATCCTCTACTACTAGATCATGCCATTGAATTGATTGCAATGGACATTCATTATTTAAATAAATACATTTCAAGAAACGCATCTGTAACATAATACAAAATTTAAAGATTCTCTTGGAATCAAAAGGACTGCATTGCGTTGAAAAAGAAAATGAAGATCGTTGTCGATGTGAAAGTGCCAAGTCGATGCAACGCATGCGTTAACGTTGTTTCGATTCCGTGGGCAAATCGCACGGTGAAAGAGTTCCAACGGTTCGCGACGAGAGTCGCGAATCGAGACCGATCTCCCGGAGGGAGGAGTCGGAAACGCTTAACGGGACGCGCTCTCGCTGACAAGAGAAGGTCGATGTGGCGACAGGAAACGCCTCTTTGCGTCTTTCCCAGTCGCGGGAGATCTCGAAGAGTTCGACACACATTTTCGTACGCGGGAACTGTCCAAGATGGGATGGCCAAATTGTTTAACTTCAGCTGCCTCATCTGACTCTCTCCAAGCTTGAGCTTCTTCTTGTTGTTGTTCTTCTTGTTTTTCTGCTTAGACGTGTTCTTCATGAACCTGTTCTATCTCAGATTTTCTTCTTGTTCCTTCCTTCTGTCCTTCTTAATCTCATCAGGATTTGCTTTTTGAATCATCAAGAACTCTTAAGTAATTATCTACGATAATAATTCATACAATACAAAAATTAACAAATGATTGTACATTTTGCATGTTAGCGAGAATTATTTTCCAAATATTCAGACTTTCTCTGCATATATGAAGCTTACAAAACCGGTGAAAATTTCCCTTAGAAAAAGAAATTTAGAAAAGAAATGTACCTTAAAAAATAAAGAGAGAACATATTAGATAGTTATTTCATAAAACACTTTGATATTTCTTGTAAGTTAATTGTAGTTCGTTTCTTCATACTTTTTTTTTTAAATTTCTCTCTTCAAAGGAAATTATGTAATGCCCCAAATCATCGATGTAGAGACGTTTAAATCTAAAGAAATAAGTTTTAGAGGTTCCTAATCCTAAAAAGGGTTCCACCCTTTTTAGGGTGTTGGGTTTTGTTAGGAACCTCTAAAACTTATTTTTTTAGATTTAAACGTCTCTACATCAATGATTTGGGGCATTACATAATTTCATCCATTCTGTCCGTCTCTGCGAACAACATCCTTGAGCCTAGATTATACCCCATACTTTTACTCAAAATGAATATTTTCCAATCTTTCTAATCGAACTCGATTCTCGGCGAATTTGAAACGGATGGTTTAATTTTTTGAGATTATTGTAGCTTTTGTTGGTAATAATTTGCTTTTGTAATTGAGTGTTATTGCTATAATAATTGTTGTCTATATAAGAAACAGATAGACTGAAAATCTTTATTATTCGGATTGATTGTTTATTTTGTGTTTCCGGAGACGCCGACTGCTAAGTGATTAGTTTCATATTGATAATAACAATAATAATTTATTACTGTAAATGAGCGTACGCTCTGAGGTAGATAGTCGTGGACGGGGGCGGTGTTCCTCTCGCGAGATCCGGCGCCGCTGCCTACGCGTTTGCTTGGGAAGGTTTCCCCTCCGCCAGCGGCGCACCGCCGCGGACGGCACGAGCGCTCAGCTCTCGACTCGCCTCCAAACAGTATGGAGTGGTGGTGTGCAATTCAGTGTATGCAAATGAAGGGGAAAGGGACAAGAATGAGGCAGGAAAGCGTTCGTTTGTTAAGGTGTTTGTTAAGGTGTTTGTTAGGCTGTTTGTTTGTTGTTGACAAATATCGGAATTCGCCTGGTATTGATCAAAGAAGCCTCAGAAAATTACCAGAGTAGCTAAATTCCTCCTAGCTATATCTGGTGTCGAAAATCCTCCACCGTCGAGAGTCGAACTCTTAGATCTCCAAGTCAGAGTCCTTGAACAGAAAACAGTTGCTCCCCAATTAACTAACTTGTAAGAGATGTATGGAAATGGTCATTATTCTTAACTGCATTAAAAACTGTTTGGTCAATATAGATTTGTAAGACGTAACTGAATTAATCCGAGTATGTATATTGCAATATTACTAAAGACTAATAATTTTTCGCGACCAATAATTTAACCGGAGAATGTCTGTCATGTTGTGTTATTACAAGTTAAATGTTAACGTATATTTTCTGAGTGAGTATAGCATCGACTACCTTGTCTGTATATTTTTCTTGTTTGTTACATTTTTTCTCTGTCCACTATTTAAAATGTTTAAATGTAGCAAGTTGTAACTGTAAAACTAGTGCAC